TGGCAGGGTACTGCAGTGACCCAATCCCTAGGCATGGTACTGCAGTGAGCCTATCTCTAGGCAGGGTACTGCAGTGACCCTATCCCTAGGCAGGGTACTGCAGTGACCATATCCCTAGGATGGGGTACTGCAGTGAGCCTAGCCCTAGGCTGGGGTACTGCTGTGAGCCTATCCCTAGGCTGGGGTACTGCGCTATATAAAACCTCCTAATAATAACAACAATAGTTCAGACCTTATGTCATGCATTGTTCAGACCTTATTTCACGTATAGTTCAGACCTTATGTCACGTATAGTTCAGACCTTATGTCACGCATTGTTCAGACCTTATGTCACGTATAGTTCAGACCTTATGTCACGTATTGTTCAGACCTTATGTCACGTATTGGTATCAGTGTGGAGAAAATAATCTCTTGTTGAAGTAAATGTCTCGTTCTAAAAAAGTACACAACAAAAGACGATACCATGTTAAATACAACAACAAAGAACACAATACTCAAACCATTGCTTATTTTAATTAATAAATTATTATATATTACAAAATCAAAAGAAATCTAATTAAAGCTATTGACTTTCAGTTACAATATAATGATTGACTTGTACCGGTACAATGTTGAAGAAGATGCAATCATGTAAAAATGTACAATGATGAAAAGGAATCTACACACACACAGTAAACAAATCTCTGTCTCGTAGAAAAGCTCTATAGAAAAATAGCACACTCGTAAAATACCTCTCGCCTGATCCTCCACTCAAACTCTCTAGGCATTTATATAGCTTGTTTTATAGATACTTTTCGAACCGACTTAGGCATTGTATTCCTTTCTCGATATTTCTACATAAATCTACATAATTCTAAAAATAATACAGACCATAGATTTTAGTTACTTGTAACCAAGGTCAAGAGAGATTATATTTAGTTAGCCACACCCTAATAGCGCCTGCCGAAATTGGGGTCAGTTTAAGTTCATTCACCAGGAAAGATGAATGAAAGTAAACGAGACGCCTCTGACAGCCGATTTCTTGATTGGAGCCCGTCATAAATTTTAGGTTTAAATAATTACTCAAAAAAATTAAAGAATACAAAATAGGAATATAAAATAGGAAAAGGCAACCAAATAAAAGAATACTAATTAGCCAATAATGTCACAGGTAGACAAACACAATTAAATTATAGATATGTATGTATTAATGAGTCAAATAAAGACAAACACAATTAATTCACAGATAATTAATGAGACGATAGGGTCTCAAAGATTTAAACACAGATGAGCAATGTTATCGATGATGAATTAAGAGGGTCCAAAAATGAAACACAGTATAGTAACATACAACTTAGTATAGTTATATACAAAATACTATCGCAACTTTGAGAGGGAGAATTTTGATGTTTATAGATGGCAGCGTAATCTTTATCTGGGGTGTAACAAACGGCTGGAGTTTGTGCCAAATGTTGGTAATGGTATCATGGTCTCCACAACATGACAAGCGAGGCAACCGCAAAATTCAAGGACAGTCCTGATTAATAGTTGTTATCTTTCTTTCAACAGCTCCTAGGAGTCTAGGACTCGAGGCTCGTCTAGGTTAATGAAAGGCCAAACACAATTCCTCTTTTTGTAATGCTGTATCACAGAGAGAAACTAATAACGATACTAAATCTTGTAACATAATCACCAACTCAATATGCAAGATTAATCTTGTAACATAATCACCAACTCAATATTCAACATAAATCTTGTAACATAATCACCAACTCACTATCAAAGATAAATCTTGTAACATAATTACCAACTCAATATGAAAGATAAATCTTGTAACGTAATCACCAACTCAATATGAAAGATAAATCTTGTAACATAATCACCAACTCAATATGAAAGATAAATCTTGTAACATAATCACCAACTCAATATGCAAGATAAATCTTGTAACATAATCACCAACTCAATATGCAAGATAAATCTTGTAACATAATCACCAACTCAATATGCAAGATAAATCTTGTAACATAATCTCCAACTCAATATGCAAGATAAATCTTGTAACATAATCACCAACTCAATATGCAAGATAAATCTTGGAATATAATCACCAACTCAATATGCAAGATAAATCTTGTAACATAATCACCAACTCAGTATGCAAGATAATCTTGTAACATAATCACCAACTCAATATGCAAGATAAATCTTGTAATATAATCACCAACTCAATATGAAAGATAAATCTTGTAACATAATCACCAACTCAATATGCAAGATAAATCTTGTAACATAATCACCAACTCAATATGCAAGATAAATTTTGTAACATAATCACCAACTCAATATGCAAGATAAATCTTGTAATATAATCACCAACTCAATATGCAACATAAATCTTGTAACATAATCACCAACTCAATATGAAAGATAAATCTTGTAACATAATAACCAACTCAACATGAAAGATAAATCTTGTAACATAATCACCAACTCAATATGCAAGATAAATTTTGTAATATAATCACCAACTCATTATGAAAGATAATTAATCTTGTAATATAATCACCAACTCAATATGCAAGATAAATTTTGTAATATAATCACCAACTCATTATGAAAGATAATTAATCTTGTAATATAATCACCAACTCAATATGAAAGATAAATCTTGTAACATAATAACCAACTCAACATGAAAGATAAATCTTGTAACATAATCACCAACTCAACATGAAAGATAAATCTTGTAACATAATCACCAACTCAATATGCAAGATAAATTTTGTAATATAATCACCAACTCAATATGAAAGATAAATCTTGTAATATAATCACCAACTCAATATGAAAGATAATTAATCTTGTAATATAATCACCAACTCAATATGAAAGATAATTAATCTTGTAATATAATCACCAACTCAATATGAAAGATAATTAATCTTGTAATATAATCACCAACTCAATATGAAAGATAATTAATCTTGTAATATAATCACCAACTCAATATGAAAGATAATTAATCTTGTAATATAATCACCAACTCAATATGAAAGATAATTAATCTTGTAATATAATCACCAACTCAATATGAAAGATAATTAATCTTGTAATATAATCACCAACTCAATATGAAAGATAATTAATCTTGTAATATAATCACCAACTCAATATGAAAGATAATTAATCTTGTAATATAATCACCAACTCAATATGAAAGATAATTAATCTTGTAATATAATCACCAACTCAATATGAAAGATAATTAATCTTGTAATATAATCACCAACTCAATATGAAAGATAATTAATCTTGTAATATAATCACCAACTCAATATGAAAGATAATTAATCTTGTAATATAATCACCAACTCAATATGAAAGATAATTAATCTTGTAATATAATCACCAACTCAATATGAAAGATAATTAATCTTGTAATATAATCACCAACTCAATATGAAAGATAATTAATCTTGTAATATAATCACCAACTCAATATGAAAGATAATTAATCTTGTAATATAATCACCAACTCAATATGAAAGATAATTAATCTTGTAATATAATCACCAACTCAATATGAAAGATAATTAATCTTGTAATATAATCACCAACTCAATATGAAAGATAATTAATCTTGTAATATAATCACCAACTCAATATGAAAGATAATTAATCTTGTAATATAATCACCAACTAATTATGCAAGATAATTAATCTTGTAATATAATCACCAACTCAATATGAAAGATAATTAATCTTGTAATATAATCACCAACTCAATATGAAAGATAATTAATCTTGTAATATAATCACCAACTCAATATGCAAGATAAATTTTGTAATATAATCACCAACTCATTATGAAAGATAATTAATCTTGTAATATAAACACCAACTCAATATGAAAGATAATTAATCTTGTAATATAATCACCAACTCAATATGAAAGATAATTAATCTTGTAATATAATCACCAACTAATTATGCAAGATAAATTTTGTAATATAATCACCAACTCAATATGAAAGATAATTAATCTTGTAATATAATCACCAACTCAATATGAAAGATAATTAATCTTGTAATATAATCACCAACTCAATATAAAAGATAATTAATCTTGTAATATAATCACCAACTCAATATGAAAGATAATTAATCTTGTAATATAATCACCAACTCAATATGAAAGATAATTAATCTTGTAATATAATCACCAACTCAATATGAAAGATAATTAATCTTGTAATATAATCACCAACTCAATATGAAAGATAATTAATCTTGTAATATAATCACCAACTCAATATGAAAGATAATTAATCTTGTAATATAATCACCAACTCAATATGAAAGATAATTAATCTTGTAATATAATTACCAACTCAATATGAAAGATAATTAATCTTGTAATATAATCACCAACTCAATATGAAAGATAATTAATCTTGTAATATAATCACAAACTCAATATGAAAGATAATTAATCTTGTAATGTAATCACCAACTCAATATGAAAGATAATTAATCTTGTAATATAATCACCAACTCAATATGAAAGATAATTAATCTTGTAATGTAATCACCAACTCAATATGAAAGATAATTAATCTTGTAGCCTTTCAATAATGTGATCAAAGCGCAAAGGTAGAAATACATTTGTTTTATTTATTTTTTTGAAAAGTATTATTTTAATAAGAGTAAATATTTATTTTTTTGAAAAGTATTATTTTAATAAGAGTAAATATTTATTTTTTTGAAAAGTATTATTTTAATAAGAGTAAATATTTATTTTTTTGAAAAGTATTATTTTAATAAGACTAAATATTTATTTTTTTGAAAAGTATTATTTTAATAAGAGTAAATATTTTTTTTTTTTTAAACATCGAAATTGATATCTCAACTGTTTAGAAATGAATTTCTTTAATTCTCTGAAGTCGTCAAAATATAAGCTTTAAAATATTAAATTTTAAGATTGATCTGCCAGAGAAAAAAAGCTATAAAAATGTAATCAACAGAATATCTTGATATACGGTATCACTAATAATAATAATAATGTGCGCCTTATGTATTTATAACAATAAATGGATATAAACTTAATTAATGACGTCACAATCGAAAAGGAAACTTACTTATTTGGCCAACAAATAAGCTGCTATTTCTATGCAGTACTTATAATTGTGTCCATGTACAGGAAAACGAAATATCAAAAGCTACTAGAGTAAAATGTATGTTATCCCGTCCACAGTTAGATTGCACTGAAACTATATAACATCCGATCCATAGAGCTCTATTGTGGCTACTAAAATGTCCTTCTTTGGCACTGAAACTAAATGATATCTGATCCATAGAGATCTATTGTGGCTACTTTAAAATCTTTATTTGTGACCTGGTCCCACAGTACTTTCTCTTTCTTGATCTCAGTGTCATTCATCTTCAAGATGTCATTCTTCCTTGAGTTGTCACTCTTCAAATCTGTGCTTTGTATGCTTTGTGTGCTTTCCGTGATGTTATCGGAAATGACACTCCCCCTTAGAACCGATGATCCCAACATTGATCCGCGATCCATTAACACGCCATCCATTAATCCACAATCCGTCTTCAGATGAACTTTTTTCATCGAAATAGATTGACGAACTATTGCTACTGGTGCAAGTATAGGGCTGCCTTCAGAGGTGACAGACTCACTTTTAGGGGTGTCCTTAAATGTGACCGACTCCCTTTTAGGAGTGTCCTTAAATGTGACCGACTCCCTTTTAGGGGTGTCCTTAAAGGTGGCCGACTCACTTACAGGGGTGCCTTTAAAGGTGGCCGAATCTCTGGTAGGAGTGTCCTTAAATGTGACCGACTCCCTTTTTGGAGTGTCCTTAAATGTGACCGACTCCCTTTTAGGAGTGTCCTTAAAGGTGACCGGGTCCCTCAAGGACGTTCTTTCGCGCCCATGTGAAGTGCCTTGCGTCATTGAAAGCCGAGTCCTAGTTGATCTCCTTGAGCGTCTCCTTTCCCCTCTGCTCGTGGTGTTTCTCCGTGTTCTACGCCTGTACTCAAGGTAGGCCACAGACTTTAACCTAACTCTTCGTTCTCGCTCTGCCCTCCTGGAAACAAGTCAATTGTAAAATATAAAAAGTGATTGTTCCCTACGAGTAAGCTGTAAAAAATAGACTCCCTAAAATGTAGAGTTCAAACAATAATCTCCCGTAAATGAAGACGTCAAACAATAATCTCCCGTAGCTTAAGACGTCAAACAATAATCTCCCGTAGCTGAAGACGTCAAACAATAATCTCCCATAGCTGAAGACGTCAAACAATAATCTCCCGTAGCTGAAGACGTCAAACAACAATCTCCCGTAGCTGAAGACGTCAAACAACAATCTCCGGTAGCTGAAGACGTCAAACAATAATCTCCCGTAGCTGAAGACGTCAAACAATAATATCCCGTAGCTGAAGACGTCAAACAATAATCTCCCGTAGCTGAAGACGTCAAACAATAATCTCCCGTAGCTGAAGACGTTAAACAACAATCTCCCGTAGCTGAAGACGTCAAACAATAATCTCCCGTAGCTGAAGACGTCAAACAACAATCTCCCTTACCTGTAGACGTCACACAACACTATCCCTTACTTGTCGACACAAAATAAAACCTTACGTGTAAACAAAAATCACAATCTTTCTTACCTGTAGACAGCAAACAGCACAGCCAAAGGCATGATGGATACAATCAATGGGAAAAATTGGGTGAAATCACGGACTGTAGAGAGAAAGAAATGAAAAAAACTAAACAAAATAAGTTTATAGAAAATTGCCTTTCAATCAGTGACACTTGATTTGTTTACAATCACTTGACTTTTGTTCATTATTATGTATGTAATGTTCAGTTCACTAGAGCTGCAAGCTAAAATGGATACAATAGAATGTGTGCATTGTTCTGTCTTTAATAGGTGTTATAGTATAGCCCGTGTGCTGACCTCATTTCACTTCCACGCAAAGCTGAAGTTTTCAAGACTAAAATGTAGTGCAGCGCCATCCCTTTTTACCCGCACTCCCTTGATTGGGAAAACGTTGAGTACTTTCAAATACCTTCTATTTGCTCTAAAGGATGCTATCAGCTGTCGTCATTTCTATAATTTATTTACGAGATTGGTCTGAGTTATTCCATATATGTATATTTAGATTTTACTGCCGGTCAATATATCTATCTACAGGCCGGCAGAGATAGACTTTCGCTAGGTTTTCTAAACATAAAGACGACGTTTTATAATTGCTAGATTGCCCTCTTTCGGTGTGTGTGTACACTTTAGGTGTGTGTGTGTACACTTTAGGTGTGTGTGTACACTTTAGGTGTGTGTATACACTTTAGGTGTTTGTGTGTACACTTTAGGTGTGTGAGTACACTTTAGGTGTGTGTGTGTACACTATAGGTGTGTGTGTACACTTTAGGTGTATATTACACTTTAGGTGTGTATAAACTTTAAGTGTGTGTACACTTTAGGTGTGTACACATGAAGTGTGTTTGTGTACACTTTAGGTGTGTGTGTACACTGTAGGTGTGTGTGTGTACACTTTAGATGTATATTACACTTTAGGTGTGTGTAAACTTTGAGTGTGTGTGTACACTTTAGGTATGTGTGTACACTTTAGGTGGGTGTGCACAATATAGGTGTTTGTGTGTACACATAAGTTGTGTATAAACACTTTAGGTGTGTGTGTACACTTTAGGTATATATAACACTTTAGATGTGCACACTTTAGGTGTGTGTGTACACTTTAGGTGTGTGTGTACACTTCAGATGTGTGTGTACACTTAAGGTGTGTGTGTACACTTTAGGTGTGTGTGTGCACTTTAGGTGTGTGTACATTTTAGGTTGTATATTACACTTTAGGTGTGTGTACACTTTAGACGTGTATGTACATTTTAGGTGTGTGTGTGTACGATTAGGTGTGTGTACACTTTAGGTGTGTGTACAATTTATATGTGTGTACACTTTAGGTGAGTGTGCACACTTTAGGTGTGTGTGTACACTTTAGGTGTGTATTTACACTTTAGGTGTTTGTACACTTTAGGTGTGTTTACGCTTTATGTGTGTGTGTACACTTTACGTGTGTGTATACCTTAGGTGTATGTGCACACTTTAGGTGTGTGTGTACTTTATAGGTCTGTGTGTACACTTTATTTGTGTGTGCACACTTTAGGTGTGTGTGTGAACACTTTAGGTGTATATACACTTTAGGTGTGTGTGCAACTTTAGGTGTGTGTGTGTACACTTTAGGTTTGTGTGTACACTTTAGGTTTGTGTGTACACTTTAGATGTGTGTACAGTTTAGGTGTGTGTGTACACTTTAGGTGTGTTGATACACTTAAGGTTTGTGTGTACTCTTCAGATGTGTGTGTACATTTTATGTGTGGTTGTACACTTTAGGTGTATGTTTGCACTTTAGGTGTGTGTACATTTTAGGTGTATGCGCACACTTTAGGTGTGTGTGTACACTTAAGGTGTGTGTGTACACTTTAGGTGTGTGTGGGTGCACTTTAGGTGTGTGTACATTTTAGGTGTATATTACACTATAGGTGTGTGTACACTTTAGGTGTGTGTGTAGACTTTAGATGTGTGTACACATTAGGCATGTAAATAAACTTTAGTTGCGTGTACACTTTATAAGTGTGTACACTTTAGGTGTGTTTGTACACTTTAGGTGTGTGTGTACACTTTAGGTGTATATTTACACTTTAGGTGTATATACACTTTAGGTGTGTGGGCATACTTTAGGTGTGTGTGTACACTTTAGGTTTGTGTGTACACTTCAGATGTGTGTGTACGTTTTAGGTGTGGTTGTACACTTTAGGTGTATGTTTGCACTTTAGGTGTGTGCACTATTTAGGTGTATATTACACTTTAGGTGTGTATACACTTTAGGCGTCTATGTACATTTTAGATGTGTGTACGCTTAAGTGTGTGTAAGCGTTAGATGTGTGTGTACATTTTAGGTGTGTGTACACTTTAGGTAAGTAAGTAAACTTTAGTTGTGTGTACACTTTATGTGTGTGTACACTTAAGTTGTGTTTGCACACTTTAGGTGTGTGTGTACATTTTAGTTGTGTATTTACACTTTAGGTGTGTGTACACTTTAGGTGTGTGTACACTTTAGATGTGTGTATACTTTAGGTGTATGTGCACACTTTAGGTGTGTGTGAACTTATAGGTCTGTGTGTACGCTTTAGGTGTGTGTGCACACTTTAGGTGTGTGTGTTTGTACACTTTAGGTGTGTGTTTGTACACTATAGGTGTGTGTGTACACTTTAGGTGTATATTACACTTGAATTGTGTGTAAACTTTAAGTGTGTGTACACTTTAGATGTGAACACATTAGGTGTGTGTGTGTACAATTTAGGTGTGTGTGTGTGTACACTTTACGTGTATATTACACTTTAGGTGTGTGTAAATTTTAAGTGTGTGTACTCTTTATTTATGTGTATACACTTTAGGTTGGTGTGCACATTATATGTGTGTGTGTGTGTGTTAACATTAGGTGTGTGTGCACACTTTAGATGTGTGTGTACACTTTAGGTGTATATTACACTTTAGATGTGTGTACAATTTAGATGTGTGTGTACACTTTAGGTGTGTGTGCACACTTTAGGTGTGTGTGTACACTTTAGGTTTATGTGTACACTTAAGGTGTGTGTGTACACTTTAGGTGTGTGCACTTTAGGTGTGTGTACATTTAGGTGTTTATTACACTTTAGGTGTCTGTACACTTTAGATATGTGTGTACACTTTAGGTGTGTGTACACATTGGGTATGTAAGTAAACTTTAGTTGTGTGTACACTTTAAGTGTGTGTACATTTTGGGTGTGTTTGTACACTTTAGGTGTGTGTGTACACTTTAGGTGTATATTTACACTTTAGGTGTGTGTACGCTTTATGTGTGTGTGTAAACTTTACGTGTGTGTATACTTTAGGTGTATGCGCACACTTTAGGTGTATATTTACACTTTAGTTGTGTGTACCCTTTAGGTGTGTGTGCACACTTTAGGTGTGTGAACACTTTAGGTGTATATACACTTTAGGTGTGTGTGCACACTTTAGGTGTGTGTGTGTACATTTTAGGTTTGTGTGTAAACTTCAGATGCGTGTGTACACTTGAGGTGTGTGTGTACACTTTATGTGTGTGTGTGCACTTTAGGTGTGTGCACATTTGAGGTGTAAAATACACTTTAGGTGTGTATACACTTTAGGCGTGTATGTACATTTTAGATGTGTGTGTACGCTTAAGTGTGTGTACACTTTAGATGTGTGTGTACACTTTAGTAGTGTGTACACTTTAGGTATGTAAGTAAACTTTAGTTGTGTGTACACTTTATATGTATGTACACTTTAGTTGTGTATTTACACTTTAGGTGTGTATACACTTTAGGTATGTGTGTAAACTTCAGGTGTGTATGTACACTTAAGGTGTGGTTGTGCACTTAGGTGTGTATACACTTAGCTGTAAATGTACACTTAAGGTTTGTGTTTACACTTTAGGTGTGTGTGTAAACTTCAGGTGTGTATGTACACTTAAGGTGTGATTGTGCACTTAGGTGTGTATGTACACTTAGCTGTAAATGTACACTTTAGGTTTGTGTGTGCACTTAAGATGTGCATGTACACTTTATGTCTGTGTACACTTTACGTGTGTGTGTACTATTAAAATTTAGTTGTGAGTACACTTTAGGTGTGTGTTCAAATTAATATTTGTATTTATCGAGATCGTACCGCTGAATTTGTTGTGTTGTGAGTTGACATTGTTTTATTTGTCTGCATCTTAATAAAATTATTACATTGAATATTTATTAATATCTTCAGTATGTTATTTCATTTTGTTTTAGAGTGGTATTAAATAGTTTGATTTATACCGTTCATTCCAGGAGTAAAATCTTAAAACATATTAAATTTTCAAAAGGCGAAAATGATGATGAATTAAGTTTTTAAATATGTTAAGTTTCTTTTTCTCAGTTTCAATCAAATTTTCACTTTATTAATTTTGCATTATTAAATTTAAAATATAAATAGAATTTTGAATGTTTGTTGCCAAGTTTTAATCGAATGTAGACTTCAATGAGAAATTTGCTCAAGACTAGGGCCAGCGATGGAGAGAGAGAGACAAGATGGTGGGCAAGTAACTGTTGGAGAATGGGGTTGCTAATGTTCGGAATTTTGAGATTAGTTTGTGGATGGCCAAGATTTGTTGATAAGTTGGAGGGGGGAATTAGTTTAGTGCCAGAAAATAATGGTTTATGGAGGTTATTGGGGGAAATTGGTGTGTATTGGAGCTGATTGGTGTGAATTGGATGTGACTGGTTGGTGGTTAATTGAAGATCGTAGCTTGGGTGTCAGATGGAAGAAGGTGTGCATCTTCAGCCTTGCCCTTTTGACTGCGCTGGTGAGTGGCTTTAGCCCTTGCCAATACAGGGTTGGAGAGAGAAAGGAGGTTGAGGCATTCTTGACTCAATATGGGAGGAAAGTGCTGGTCGAACGAATTTTGCCATTTTGTCTTCTATCACATCACCACAGATCAAATCGTCAGAGATCATTTGTCTCTGGTCACCTTGTCTAAAGATACCTCATCCGTGTAAAAGTACCAGAGATCACATGTCTCTGGTCAGCTTGTCTAAAGATATCTCATCCAGATAAAAGTGCCAGATATCACTTGTCTCTGGTCATCTTGTTTTTGTCCAATGTCTAATATCTTACCTGAAAATTCCTTGTCATATTCCGTTTCTGAGTGTTCAAAGCAATTCCCTTGTATCCTCTCATAGCAATCTTCTCCACATTTGAACATGCAATTCCCTGCACAGTGTAAGCCGTAAGTCCCAGTTGGACATTCTAAAGATCAGACAGGAGGTTAATAAAAATAAACTTAGTGCACAAATTAAGCTATTTTTTTAATATTATACTCTTTGTTTGTACTGCTGCTGACAAAGGCTACTTGATGTGTCAAATGTTATTTAATGTCAAAGGCTACTTGCTGACATAGGCTCCTTGAAAGAAAGCCTTAAGCATATCAAAGGCTACTTAATGTCAAAGACTACTTGATGTTAAAGGCTACTTAATGTCAAGGCTACTTGAAAGAAAAGCCTATTTCTTGACAAATGCTACTTGATGTCAAATGCTACTTGATTTCAAAGGCTACTGTAGAGCACCGTCGACAAATGTGCACAAAATACTGGAAGATTTTCGACTAGAGCAGGTGTCACCAATTGTTTCAGCCCGAGGGCCGCACTAACTATCAAACAGCAGTTCTATGCCGACTACACACTCAAGGTCCAAAAAAAAAAAAAGAATCAAAGCCTGGATGTTGTTTTTAATTATATATTTATTATTATTTTATTCAGTTATGAACATATGAAGTTATATGAAGTTATGAACCAGTATTAGTGGGAATGGTGAAATTGTTTCCTAAATACCGAAATAGCAGACATTTCTGGCTTTAGTTTTGATTTCCCTAAGATCAATAGCGACATGAATTATCATCGGACATGTTTGTTCTCAAATTGTTCTTTACGTAGTTCATTCTTGAATATGTTTGTTCACACAGGTGTGTTGTTCACACAGGTATGTGGTTCACACAGGTATGTGGTTCACACAGGTGTGTTGTTCTAAAGATTAAAAAGTATCTTGATGCAAACGTTTTGCAATTAGGAAAGTCTTCTTTGGGCAAAAACTGGTAAAAACACAAAAGTCCTTTTTTTAACTTAGTCCTAAGAAGGTCATTTGCTTGCAACTCAATGATCTCCAGCTGCAGTTCATCATGGCAACTGGCCACATCTGCTTCAAATGGGTTTGAAACAGTCTCACTTCTTCTGCCTTTGAATCCAAGTCAGAAAACCTCTGCTGCAATTGCAGCTGGATGTCTTTGATGATCTCGCATGCAAATGACGTGGGGAAGTCAGCTGTTGCTTCAGCCATGAAGACCTTGAACTGATGAAAGTGTGTCAAGTTGTTGGCCTGCGCTTATTCCAAAAAGAAGACGAGTTTGGTTCTGAAGGCTTTTAGGTGGGTTTATAGATCAGACACAAGATGTTCCTCTCCTTGTAGTTTTAGGTTTAGAAAATTTAAATGACTAGTTATGTCTGCAGGAAAGGCCAATTTCTATACCCACTCTTCATAATAATAATAATAATAAAGTTCATTTCAAAAATACGCTTCATCCCATAAGGCTCGAAGCGCGGTACAAAGTCAACAAAAAACAGATCTATAATTTACCACATTTAAAGCAAACGCAACACTACAAAAAATAATTACAAGCATACTATATCAAAGTCTTTCAACCCATTTCAACCTTGAGCAACACAGCTAATATGCATTAAATGGAAAATATGGTAGACAATCATCCCAGAAGGTGTTTGAGAAATAAACTGTCATGAGACAGTAATGGATATGCCTTGCCTTTACTTTCCAGGAAGTCACCTATTTCCTTTCTTAACTTAAATACTCTGCTCAGAACTTTCTCACAACTTAGCCATCTTATTGGTGTGTGATGATAAATCTTGAATTTCTATGTCTGTATTTTTCAACATGTCTCTGAACTGTCTGTGATTGAGCCCACGGGACCTTATTAAATTCACCCTCTTCACCACAGGATTTAGTACACTGCAAATGTACACATATTTAGCACACAAAGCTTGCTGGTGAATAATACAGTGCAGGAACAAACGTTGTAGAATGTTTTTCTCATTACACATCCGCTTCACTTGTCCAACCAAGCCTTTGTTTTTGCCAATAATGTTCTTTTCTCCATCAACAGTCAGATAACTGATGTTACTCCAGTCATAATTTATATTCAGCAAATGTTTTTTTACAAATCATTGAATATATCCTCTCCGGTAACAATGTCGTACATGCTATGTTGGGAAGCCAGCTCTTGTGCTATGTTCAAGTCTTCATCCTGTTGAGAGGCGGAAAAGCTGTCCAGCGATTCATCCATTGCAATTGAAAAATGGCGAAACTTGCTTGCATTTTTCGCTATTTGTGTCACAATGTTTTCACCCATGTCTGCAACATGGCGGGCAAGATTTTTTGCTCCCAAAGCTACATTTTAAATTCTTTTGACTTTTCTGGGCAAAGATCCTCAGCCACCACCAACAAACATTCCTTCACTACTTCACCATCTGTAAACGGTTAGCCACTTCTAGCCAGGACGTAGACAACTTTATACCTGGCCTTAGTTAAGGATTCATTTTCATTTTAGGATTTACTGAACACTGTCCTCTGAGATGTGAGTTGATTTTGTAATTTAGAAAAATTTTCGGCACCGACTTGACGCTTTAACTGTGCATATTTCTCCTGATGTTTGCTTTGATGATGACGACGCTGATGTTTGCTTTGATGATGACGGCGCTGATGTTTGCTTTGATGATGACGACGCTGATGTTTGCTTTGATGATGACGACGCTGATGTTTGCTTTGATGATGACGACGCTGATGTTTGCTTTGATGATGACGACGCTGATGTTTGCTTTGATGATGACGATGCTGATGTTTGCTTTGATGATGACGACGCTGATGTTTGCTTTGATGATGACGACGCTGATGTTTGCTTTGATGATGACGACGCTGATGTTTGCTTTGATGATGACGACGCTGATGTTTGCTTTGATGATGACGACGCTGATGTTTGCTTTGATGATGACGACGCTGATGTTTGCTTTGATGATGACGACGCTGATGTTTGCTTTGATGATGACGACGCTGATGTTTGCTTTGATGATGACGGCGCTGATGTTTGCTTTGATGATGACGACGCTGATGTTTGCTTTGATGATGACGACGCAGGTAGTTATTCTTGTATCGTAGCCGTGGTTTCCTTGCTCTCTCACCGGAATTTGATGAAGCGTATTTCAAACTCCATTCTTCATCAAATTGCCAGCATTCATCTTCTTTTTTTCTTTTTCTCTTCCTTAACACATTAGAGTCAATCTGATGCCATTGAACACAGTATAGTCAATTTGATGCCATTTAACACATTGCAGTAAATCTGATGCCATTTAACACATTAGAGTCAATCTGATGCCATTTAACACATTAGAGTCACTTTGATGCCATTTAACACATTACAGTCAATCTGATGCCATTTAACACATTACAGTCAATCTGATGCAATTTAACACGTTACAGTCAATTTGATGTCATTTAACACATTACAGTCAATTTGATGCCATTTAACACATTATAGTCAATGAGATGCCCTTTAACACATTATAGTCAATGAGATGCCCTTTAACACATTATAGTTAATGAGATGCCCTTTAACACATTATAGTCAATGAGATGCCATTTAACACATTATAGTCAATGAGATGCCCTTTAACACATTATAGTCAATGTGATGCCCTTTAACACATTATAGTCAATGTGATGCCATTTAAAACATTATATTCAATGTGATGCTATTTAAAACATTATAGTCAATGAGATACCATTTAAAACATTATAGTCAATGTGATGCCACTTAAAACATTATAGTCAATGTGATGCCATTTAAAACATTATAGTCAATGTGATGCCATTTAAAACATTATAGTCAATGTGATGCCATTTAAAACATTATAGTCAATGTGATGCCATTTAAAACATTATAGTCAATGTGATGTCATTTTCGGGACACTTAGAACTCAAGGTTACCAAATACATTGTTGTTTTCTTACTGTCCTGTCGTTTTATTTCAAGCTGTCACAAAACTTGTTCCACTATTTTAATATGCCAGGGCTGCATGTGCAGAGGATTTTCAGATATGTATATTATCTACCTGTACTGCAGCGGTTCTCAAATATTGATTGAATATGCAAGTGTTGAAGAGATTATCAGACCGTTATTTAACATTCCAGTGATTATGGATTATAGGGAAATGATATAACATACCAGTGATTATGGATTATAAGGAAATGATATAACATACCTCTGATTATGGATTATAGGGAAATGATATAACATACCAGTCATGCAGAAGTTGTGTGGCATTCGAAACCCAGGCTCACACTCTAGGCACGTGCCTTGGATTTTGCTGCAGTCCGTCCGACAGTTCTCACAGCTCATCTGGCAGCCTAGTCCAAAGGTCTTCTCAGGACAATCTGGCAAATGTAAGGATGCGTGCAAAGGGAATATTTCATGGTCAAACAATGTATACTTTTGCACTTAAAATAGCTGACAATGACGCGACATAGAAGTAGGTACGACTGCTGACAATGACTTTACACATACGCATGTACGTTTACTGACGATGACGTCACACAGAAGTAAGTCGGCACAGAGTAGTATAGACTATTATGAGGCTACTAAATAATGTCTTAGAGCAAAGTTTCCGTTGATAAAGACATCGCTCCGCCTTTGCTTTTCTTTATACTATAGCCGACGTGCATTACCTTCAGGGCGACTCAGCCATAAACTTAAGGATACGCCTAAATATTACGTCCAGGACACGACCATTCATTACCTTTAGGGCACGGCCAATTATTACCTTTAGGGTATGTCTCCCCATTACCTTTGGGGCATGGCTAGCAATTACCTTTTGTACACACCCGACAATTAACTGAAGGATAAGCCAAAGAACTACCTTCTGGGCACGCTAAGCCAGTGTTGCAGTAATTTCTGCGTGACTCTTTGCTGTTGCCTTGACAATACATTCCTTTGGCTTCTGGTATCGGATCATTGCAATACCTAGTATAAAACAATGAGATGACATCTGAGCATTGAAATACCTTTGGATTACAATGAAATGACATACGAGCATTGAAATACATGTTGTAATAAAATGAGATAACATCTGACATTGAAATACCTTTGGATTACAATGAAATGACATATGGTCATTGAAATACATGTTGTAATACAATGAGATAACATCTGATCATTGAAATCCATGTTGTAATACAATGATAATAAGGGAAGGGGGGGTGGCGGGAAGACTGCAATCAGGTTAGCTAATAAGGAAATTAGACAATCTAAGCATGTGAAAACCAAAAATACGAACGAAAAAAAAAAACCGAGCGTGTCAGCAAAAAAAAAAATTAATTAAAAATTAGAAGTTAGCTGAAAAGTAATATCCGAAAGGGAAGCTAAAGAATTGTGAAATAAGTAGGGGAGAGATTAAAAAATTAGAAGTTAGCTGAAAAGTAATATCCGAAAGGGAAGCTAAAGAATTGTGAAATAAGTAGGGGAGAGATTAAATACAGACAAAAGGGGGGGGGGGGTCGGTGATGGGAAAAGGACAATTAAGTCCATTGCGATTGGAGGGGCGGCACAAAGGCTCAAAAATAGAATGAAAGCATGACGTTCATACCATGTTTTGTCGAGGTTCCAATATTCTGGAATTTGCCTGTGCCGCGTTGCAGTTGAGCCCTGACATGTTCCAACATTAAAATTTCTAGTGCCATTTTGCATTTAAGCCCTAATATATTCCAACATTGTACATACCTGTGCCGTGTCGCCGTTGAGCCTATGGTGTATTCCAAAATTAAATTTACCAGTGAAAAGATAGATGACAACATTGTATTCACCTGTGTGGTGTAGCCGTTGAGCCCTGATAGATCACAACATTGTATTTACCTGTGTCGTGTAGCCGTTGAGCCCTGATAGATCACAACATTGTATTTACCTGTGTCGTGTAGCCGTTGAGCCCTGATAGATCACAACATTGTATTTACCTGTGTCGTGTAGCCGTTGAGCCCTTGCAGTTCTGAAGACATGTCCAGCTTTGCCATTCGCCCCATTCACCTATTTTAAAAAAAATGAAACTACATCTCTTGAAGTTTACGTTTGAGTGTATGTTGACAAACAGAAACACATGGTATTGAATTGGTTGTAAAGTCTATGAACTTTCCTCGTAAAATGTAATCAGATCGCTGTCCTCATGTAGTTGGTATTGACACAAGGAGGACGCTGTCCTCATGTAGATGGTATTGACACAAGGAGCACGCTGTCCTCATGTAGATGATATTGACACAAGGAGGACGCTGTCCTAATGGAGAGGGTGTTGAGACTTGATGTCTTCCATTGATAATATATAACAGATTTTGAATATCATTTATTGGAGAATAAAAATTCTGTCCATTTTATATTTGAACATTTATTTCTGATATGAGTATGTAACATTTGCATACTCCTGCTAACGACACTCATGGTTTTTACACAAGACACTCATAGTATTGAAGTATGTAGTGACAGAGTTGATCAGATATCTTGAAGTGTGAAGTGACAGAGTTGATCAGACATCTTGAAGTGTGAAGTGACAGAGTTGATCAGACATCTTGAAGTGTGAAGTGACAGAGTTGATCAGACATCTTAAAATCTGAAGTGACAGAGTTGATCAGACATCTTGAAGTGTGTAGTGACAGAGTTGATCAGACATCTTGAAGTGTGAAGTCACAGAGTTGATCAGACATTTTAAAGTGTGAATTGACAGAGTTGATCAGATATCTTAAAGTGTAAAGTAACAGAGTTGATCAGACATCTTCAAGTGTGAAGTGACAGAGTTGATCATAAATCTTAAAGTCTGAAGTGACAGAGTTGATCAGACATCTTGAAGTGTGTAGTGACAGAGTTGATCAGACATCTTAAAGTGTGAAGTGACAGAGTTGATCAGACATCTTGAAGTGTGTAGTGACAGAGTTGATGACACATCTTGAAGTGTGTAGTGACAGAGGTGATCAGACCATCTTAAAGTGTGAAGTGACAGAGTTGATCAGACATCTTAAAGTGTGTAGTGACAGAGTTGATCAGACATCTTAAAGTGTGAAGTGACAGAGTTGATCAGACCATCTTAAAGTGTGAAGTGACAGAGTTGATCTGATCTTGACGGCTGTAGTGATAGAGTTGATCAGACATCTTAAAGTGTGAAGTGACAGAGTTGATCAGACATCTTGAAGTGTGAAGTGACAGAGTTGATCAGACATCTTAAAGTGTGAAGTGGCAGAGTTGATCAGACATCTTAAAGTGTGAAGTGACAGAGTTGATCAGACCATCTTAAAGTGTGAAGTGACAGAGTTGATCTGATCTTGACGGCTGTAGTGATAGAGTTGATCAGACATCTTAAAGTGTGAAGTGACAGAGTTGATCAGACATCTTGAAGTGTGAAGTGACAGAGTTGATCAGACATCTTAAAGTGTGAAGTGGCAGAGTTGATCAGACATCTTAAAGTGTAAAGTGACAGAGTTGAGCAGACATCTTGAAGGTTGTAATAACAGAGTTTAACAGGTATCTTAAACGGTATAGTGTCAGGATTCAGCAGACGTCTTGAAGGGTGTAGACGTAAATTACGAATGTCTAAGAAGTTATTTAAAATGTAGAGCCGCATATTATGATATATTAATGCTGTGAAGTTATAACTTTCAATCTTAGGTTTACATATTATATTTCATGTTAACTACAAGTCAAGTGTATTATGTGTAAAAATGGAGTTCATCTTCTAATTGTGGAGAAGTGACAGATACTTAGCATTAACATTTAACATCTTAGATCACCGAAATCACTCGTGAATCTATCCTTACAGCATTAGGAGTTAGATTTTCTCAATTTTGCCTGAAAATGTCATCAGTATGTTAATTACTAGAAATAACCCTTTAATCAATAGTGCTTGCCTTGCGTGAACTTCCCATCTACTGAAGTTACTTAACAAAACATGCTTTCTAGTAATGCACTCCAGATGAATCCCATTTTAATTATAAAATCTTGAAATTTCCTCTTGTGTACATTTTGAACATAGCGTACAATCATTACACACACTCACACATAAATACACACACATTAATACATACATAAATACCTAGAGAATTATGATTAGGTTGATGATTACAACATACACACCTAGAGAACTATGATTAGGTTGATGATTAAAACTACACACCTAGAGAACTATGATTAGGTTGATGATTACAACATACACACCTAGAGAACTATGATTAGGTTGATGATTACAACATACACACCTAGAGAATTATGATTAGGTTGATGATTAAAACTACACACCTAGAGAACTATGATTAGGTTGATGATTACAACATACACACCTAGAGAATTATGATTAGGTTGATGATTACAACATACACACCTAGAGAATTATGATTAGGTTGATGATTACAAAACATTAGAATGTAATAAAATAATTTCAGCTGATCAACTTCACCTCTGATTGGTGGAGATAGGTCTTCATCAATGTGTCCATCCATGTCGTTATCTGGCAGGTATTCAATTAATGTGTGATTAAGTTAGTCTTGATTCAACAGATAGGTACAAGATTGGACAATACTTGTCTCAAAAAGATTGGACTATACTTGTCTCAATTAGATTGGACTATACTGGTCTCAATAAGATTGGACTATACTGGTCTCAACAGATTGTACATTTAAAAAATATATTGACTAAGCTCCAAAGGCCACATAGTTTGACTAAGTCCCAAATAACACCTATATTGACTAAGCTCCGAAGGACACATAGGTGGACTAGGTCCCAAATACCACCTATTTTCGCTAATCTCCAAACACAACCAATTATCGCTAATCCCAAAATGCATGATTATTAAATAAACATCAAATACCATACATAAAGACGATGCCCAAAAGTCACATATATTGACTAAGCCCGAAATAACACCTACGCTGACTTAGTCACTAATAATGACAATATTAACTAAGCTACAACAACCAAATATTTTGATAATTTTCCAATTAAAAAATATATTAATTAAGCCCCCCTCAAAACACTGTATGTTAAATAAGCTCTCATGGTGGACCAGGTGGTAATGAAAGCCATGTTAACTAAGCTCTCATGGACCAGGTGATGATGAAAGCCATGTTAACTAAGCTCTCATGGACCAGGTGATGATGACAGCCATGTTAACTAAGCTCTCATGGACCAGGTGATGATGAAAGCCATGTTAACTAAGCTCTCATGGACGAAGTGATGATGAAAGCCATGTTAACTAAGCTCTCATGGACGAAGTGATGATGAAAGCCATGTTAACTAAGCTCTCATGGACGAAGTGATGATGAAAGCCATGTTAACTAAGCTCTCATGGACCAAGTGATGATGAAAGCCATGTTAACTAAGCTCTCATGGACGAAGTGATGATGAAAGCCATGTTAACTAAGCTCTCATGGACGAAGTGATGATGAAAGCCATGTTAACTAAGCTCTCATGGACGAAGTGATGATGAAAGCCAAGTTAACTAAGCTCTCATGGACGAAGTGATGATGAAAGCCATGTTAACTAAGCTCTCATGGACGAAGTGATGATGAAAGCCATTGTAACTAAGCTCTCATGGACGAAGTGATGATGAAAGCCACGTTAACTAAGCTCTCATGGACGAAGTGATGATGAAAGCCATGTTAACTAAGCTCTCATGGACGAAGTGATGATGAAAGCCATGTTAACTAAGCTCTCATGGACCAAGTGATGAGGAAAGCCATGTTAACTAAGCTCTCATGGACCAAGTGATGCTGAAAGCCATGTTAACTAAGCTCTCATGGACCAAGTGATGATGAAAGCCATGTTAACTAAGCTCTCATGGACGAAGTGATGATGAAAGCCATGTTAACTAAACTCTCATGGACCAAGTGATGATGAAAGCCATGTTAACTAAGCTCTCATGGACTAAGTGATGATGAAAGCCACCTACCTTGGAGATCTTTGATTTCCTCGTCAATGAGACCGTCACAGTCGTTGTCTAAACCATCCCCCTTGACCACATCTCCCATCACCTTCGTGGTGTAGGTGGCAACACAATGCTAGACAACCAGTCAGTGTTATGTCATCAAGAACTCCATGTCACATCGACAAACAATCAAATTTATTTTTTATCAAGAAACATTCAATGTCACATACACAAGCAATCAATGTTATATACACAAGCAATAATGAACGATCATTCTCTTTCTGTGCCCCTAAACAATGGAATTCTCTCCAATTAAATTTTCAAAATATACCGCCAATCATGATCTTAACTGCCCTCAAGACCCATCTCTTTGAACTGTAATTTACCGACTCATTCTCACACCTCTCTAACTGATAAACAACGCTCGATGCTGCTGGGTGCTGTCCATGGCTAGACAGGGGTAGATAGTACTTGGGTGGGTGCTGTCCATAGCTAGACAGGGGTAGATAGTACTTGGCAGGGTGATGTCCATGGCTAGACAGGGGTAGATAGTACTTGGGTGGGTGAAGTCAAGCTTTTCACCAATTGTTATGTTAAAATGTATAATTTTCAGTAATTGCTAATTTTTTAGGCTTAGCGCAGTGAGCCTACCCCCTAGGCTGGGGTACTGCACTATAAAAAAGCACATAATAATAATAATAATATAAACAAGAAAACTAGAAATCTTGGTTCTACAGTATATTTTATATTCACACTCCAAATGTAAATAATTGCACTATGACTTTAAATGGCTTATATAGAAATAAACTGACAAATCTATGACTTAAACTGACAACTCTACGACTGAAACTGACTACTCTATGACTTAAACTGACCAGTCCATGACTTAAACTGACCACTCGACGACTCAAACTGGAAAATCTACCACTTAAACTGACCACTCTACGTCTTAAACTGACCACTCTTTGACTTAAACGGACCACTATATGACTTAAACTGATGACTCTACGACTTAAACTGACCACTCAATGACTTAAACTTACGACTCTATGACTTAAACTGACCACTCTACGACTTAAACTGACCACTCTATGACTTAAGCTGACCAGTCTACGATTTAAACTGACTACTCTATGATTTAAACTGACCACTCTACGACTTAAACTGACCACTCTACGACTTAAACTGACCAGTCTACGACTTAAAATGACCAGTCTACGACTGAAACTGACCACTCTACGACTTAAACTGACCAATCTACGACTGTTTTCAACAACTCTACCACTTTCAGTATCAACTCAACTGTTACCGGATTCCACATCTAAACACAAACCTCGTGTTCAATTAATTAACACCTTGTTTTAGACTTGATTTAACGTTTAATCACTAGCTGCTCTTATTTGTTTCTGAATCGATGTTTGCTACTTCTGACAGATCAAAGCTGGAGCCAAGCTCGTTCTATTGTCAATGGTATCTGATTTTCACGTGTCACCATTTTAACACAGCACAAAAACAGATTACAATTAATTTTGTTATCGGATAGGATAACACGATCAATCGAACCGACATGATAACACAATTTGGCTGACAGACGTGATAGCAAAATCTTGCATCACATAGGAAAACGCAGTATAGCTGTAGATAGGGCTTTTAGATAGGATGACATAATATGACTGTCAGGTTTCGGCGGAAATCGAAAATAAACAGAGACTTAACTTTTCTGTTTCGGCTGAAACCGAAACTTCGCCGAAAGTGATTAAAAAGCAACGCTTGGCACTGAAACTGAAGCTGAAATTCGGTCGGTCTTTACCGTTCAGAAAGAGAGCAAAGAAATCTCTAACCCCTTGTGCCATCTTCATATGGCGCAAAAATCGTATTTCATCTTTAAAATTTGTGCCAAAAATTATTTTGTGGTGATATTGCCAACATTCCAGCGTTCTTTGGGATCGTCTTTGATTGCAACATCCCTGTCAGCAAACTTGTAGGAACTTCCAGCCTCCTCCACGTAATCCTACATCTCATCTTGACTTGCTAACTAGTAAAATAATTTTAAGTAATCAAATGCCACACGCGGGATCTTAGTTGGCCCAAGTAATCATAGGTGACCCAAGTAATCATAGTTGGCCCAAGTAATCATAGATGACCCAAGTAATCATAGATGACCCAAGTAATCATAGTTGGCCTAAGTAATCATAGTTGGCCCAAATAATCATAGGTGACTCAAGTAATCATAGTTGGCCCAAGTAATCACAAGTGACCCAAGTAATCTTAGTTGGCCCAAGTAATCATAGTTGGCCCAAGTAATCATAGTTGGCCCAAGTAATCATAGTTGGCCCAAGTAATCACAAGTGACCCAAGTAATCATAGTTGGCCCAGGTAATCATAGATGACCCAAGTAATCATAGATGACCCAAGTAATCATAGTTGGCCCAAGTAATCATAGTTAGCCCAAGTAATCATAGTTGGCCCAAGTAATCATAGGTGACTCAAGTAATTATAGTTGGCCAAAGTAATCATATTTGGCCCAGTAATCAAAGTTGGCTAAAGTATTTATAGTTGGCCCAAGTATTCATTGGTCGCACAAGTAATCATATTTGGCCCAAGTAATCACAGTTGGCCTAAGTGATCATAGTCCGCCCAAGTATCATAATTGGCCCAAGTAATCAAAGGAGGCCCAAGTAGACATAATTTACCTAAGTAATCATAGGTGGACCAATTAATCATAATTGGACAAAGTAATCATATGTGGCTCAATTAATACAAGTTGGCTAAAGTAATCACAAGTGACCCAAGTAATCATGGGTCGCCCAAGTAATCATAGGTGACCCAAGTAATCATAGTTGGCCCAAGTAATCATAGGTGACCCAAGTAATCATAGTTGGCCCAAGTAATCATAGTTGGCACCAGTAATCCCAGTTGGCCCAAGTAATCAAAATTGACCCAAGTCATCATAGTTGGCCCAAGTAATCATAGTTGTCCCAAGTAATCATAGTTGGCCCAAGTAATCATAATTGGCCGAAGTCATCATAGGTGGCCCAAGTAATTATAGTTGGCCCAAGTCATCATAGGTGACCAAAGTAATCATAGTTGGCCCAAGTAATCATAATTGGCCCACGTAATCATAAATGGCCCAGTAATCAAAGTTGGCTAAAGTAATTATAGTTGGCCCAAGTAATCATATTTGGCCCAAGTAATCACAGTTGGCTTGGCATGATCATAGTCGGCCCAAGTATCATAATTGGCCCAAGTAATCAAAGGTGGCCCAAGTAGTCATAATTTACCCAAGTTATCATAGGTGGCGAAATTAATCATAATTGGACAAAGTAATCATATGTGGCTCAATTAATCCAAGTTGGCTAAAGTAATTATAGTTGGCCCATGTAATCATGGGTCGCCCAATTAATCATAGAATGCCCAAGTAATCTTAGTTGGCCCAAGTAATCTGAGTTTCCCAATTCATCATAGGTGGCCCAAGTCATCATAGTTGGCCCAAGTAATGAGAGGTGGCCCAAGTCATCATAGGTGGCCCAAGTAATGATAGGTGGCCAAAGTCATCATAGCCTGCCCAAGTAATGATAGGTGGCCTAAGTCATCATAGGTGGCCCAAGTAATAATTGGTGGCACACGTCATCATAGGTGCCCCTCGTTTAGTCCAAATCTTACCTGATTTATTTTGTTAGTTCTAAATCCAGCATTGTAGATGGCACTCGTCTGGTCAGCAATCCCTAACAAGACACAGTTGAAGTTGATCCCCGTATGTGTGTAGATGTAATGGAAATGGCCGTGCACGCGCAGGTCCATCTGCCACCAATCACTGGGACTGATGCCATTCAGCTGACTGACAAGTTCAATATTTCTAGCAAAGAAAAGACAACTCATTGACATAAAACCATTGTTTTAATGTGCAAAGTACCAGCATTAATTGCTTACAAACTGTTGCGTAATTTAAGAAAACTTTTGTAACATTTACTAGCATTACATTGTAGTTCAGGGACATGTAAAGTTTGCTGCATTTTCGTTCACATTTGGATGGTCTGATTGAATGCCGTTGGCTTTTTACATGTGTGTCATAGAAGCCACTTGAAGTAATGGCTCTTAGTGTTGAGAAATTAGTGAGAACATGGGAGCATGTAGTGACGTCATTAGGTGTTCAGATGTCCTGAAGTGTTGTCTATCTGTTCAACCAATTTGTAGAAACGTTTTTGAACAAACTTTCCTTGTAATATTTGAGAAACCTTTTCATAGAAATGTCCTTGAAATATTGGACGCACTGCTGCACACTTTCTGAGACGTATGTCTTATGAACTTAACAGTTTACACACCAAATATCGTTAACTACAAAATTATCCTGATAAATGCAAGAATCTTGAAATTTAAAATTTGTATAGACTGTGATTTCACAATGAGCATGCCAATTAGCAAAGCCATCTTTGTAAGCACCCGACCCACCTAACAAAGCAATGTTTATTAGCCCCCATCCCACCTAATAAAGCAATGTTTGTTAGCACCCAAACCACCTAACAAAGCAATGTTTATTAGCTCACGACCCACCTAACAAAGCAATGTTTGTTAGCCCATGACCCACTTAACAAAGCAATGTTTGTTAGCCCACAACCCACCTAACAAAGCAATCTATGTAACCACCCGACCCACCATACAAAGCAATGTTTGTTAGCCAAAAACCCACCTAACAAAGCAATGTTTGTTAGCCCATGACCCACTTAACAAAGCAATGTTTGTTAGCCAACAACCCACCTAACAAAGCAATCTATGTAACCACCCGACCAACCATACAAAGCAATGTTTGTTAGCCAAAAACCCACCTAACAAGGCAATGTTTGTAAGCACCCGATGTATAAAAAAAAAAGAAAAAGAAAGACTCATGGAAGCCGGATTTTTCAGAGAATATATTACAGACACTCAGAAAAGACTTGGTCTGACGCCAAGACAATCGGTGGATACACAGTCTGACGCCAAGACAACCGGTTGATACACATACTGCAACGCTGACACTCCTTAGGCGCACATCTTGCCAACAAGACAGGTACAAAAAAAACTTGCTACTTTGACTTTGGGTAGTGCAACATCATATCAGATACATCAGATACACCAAATACATAATATCATAAACACCAGACCCGATACATCAGACGCATACATCAGATACATCAGATACATACGAAACATACATCATATGCAAAAATATCTCCTCAATTTATCATATATAACGTAAAACACATTGACCTGTGAGCAACTTTGGCTCCGTCTACTCGAAGATGGCTGCTGTCTTT